ATAAACCCTATGGAGCAGTTCTACTCCATCCTGTCCGGTCGCTATGAGTTGGAATTGACTCGACAGGAACTTTCTTTTTTTTTTAAGCTGGTTATTTAAACAGATAAAATGGTATGCAAATTATGTTAAAATAAAAGTTTTATCTGTCAAAGTGTGCGTTATATTTGCTGAAAGTATCCATTACACTATTCTGTTCACTGCTATTAATAAGAGCAATTTAATGGCCATATTGTATCTTTGGGAAAAGAGTACAATAAATTTTAGAGGGAAAATGCATCAGTTTATATAGACAGGAAGAGAAAACAGTTTTCCTGTCTGTTGATGGACCTTACTGACTCATAAACATGCTCATGAGCTTTTAGGATATCATGAAATAGTAATACTTGCATCATTAGATAGTATATTTTCATTTTAAGTTATAAATGCTTTTAAGAAATTCCTGGAAATGTCTTAAGATGAGATTGCAAAAAGCATTCTTCTTGGCTGTCTCTAAGCCTTTTACTGTAGATAGGAAGAAAGAAATACTAGTGCCGTTTCTTTAAGTAAAGGGCTGTTTTGTCTTTACATAGAAATATGACCTTCAGAATAGTGAAAATATATTAAATAATAAAAATGTTTTTGTGAAATTGCAGTATTCAGTGAGATGGACTTTGACTTGTTCTAGTTTAGGTATATTTTGTACTTGTGTTTGTATTAGTTTATTGTCAATCTGAACACTTCTGGAAAAGATTTGTAGATAAGATTTGTATAACATTATTATTTAGAAAAATATTCACAATTCATTGCAAAACATAACTCTTAACTGTAGTTGATTGAAACTGGTTAAAAGTCAAAGACCTATTTAACAGGGTAGAACAGTGGCTTATGCTGCTTGGTTTTAAAGTAACAGATGATGTGATTTCTCGCTGTGGATTAAATTCTGCCTTCTACTTAATTTCATTGAACCCCGAGGACAACTGCTAAGAGATATTTTCCATTTAAACCTAATAGCAATACAAAACAGCTTCAGATCGTTAGGAATAATATTGTAAAACACCATAAAATGGCAAGGTTATACTATAAAGGTCTATATGCCTCTATCTGCTTGTCTTTATCCCACTATGTGTCTTTTTCTCTGCCTCTTCTGGCTTTGCTTTATTGAGTGCTAGCTAGGACAGACCATAAACTCCCCAGAAGCTTGTTTAACCCTATAGCTCCAGGCATTTATTACAGCGCATTCCACACAGTAGTTGGGTAAGGATGGGTGGATGGATCAATGAATGGGTAGATGGTTAGATGGACGGATGGATGGATGGATGAATGAATGAATGAATGAATGAATGAATGAGTAAGGCGCTATACTGAGCACTGAGGTACAAAAATGAAGATCCAGTACCTGCTCTCCTAGAGATCACATTCTAGTGGAACAGACAGACACGTAAACAATTATAATACAGTATGGTAAGTGCTGCAAAATAGAGGCTTGCACAAAGTACTGTAGGTGTTCAAAAATGAGGGAGGGACTCTGGAAGGCTTCACAGAAGAAGTGACATCTGCTCAGTGTCTAAAAGATAAGTGAGAGTTACCCAAGTGGCAAAAGGCATTCCAGATAGTAGTACAAACTGCATATTCCAAGAACAGATGTCTGGAGAATGCAGAGCAGGGAAGAAGGAGTCAAGTGTCAGAAAATAAGGCCAAAGGGATAATTGGACTAGATTGTGAGGGACCTTACATTTACTAAACAGTTCTTATTCAGTGAGCTTTGTGTGTGTGTGTGTGTGTGTGTGTGTGTGTATTTTAGGAACTCATTGAAGTATACAGAAAAATAAGATCTTAAATGTATAGCTCAAATTTTTTTCACAAAGTAAACATAACCAACACCCAGAATAAATTAATGTCCCCCATGTGTCCTCTCCCAATCACTACCTCTCCCCTGGGATAACCATTATACTGGTTTTTAACACCATGGATTATGTTGTTATTTTTGAGTTTTATTCCAATGAAATTATATAGTTTTGTGTCTGGCTTCTTTTGTACAACCTTATATTTGCACATTCATCCATGTTGTATATACCAGTAGTTTGGTCATTTTCATTGCTATTACGTATTCCATTGTGTGAATATATCACGTTTTATTTATGCATCTCTACTGTTGATGAACATTTAGCAATGTTTCTAGTTTTGGGCTGTTACAAATAGTGCTGCTATAAACTTTTCCTATATGTCTTTTAGTAACATACATAACACATTTCTGTTGGGTACATGACCAGGACTAGTACTGCGGTGTCATCCAGAAACAAAACTAAAAACCTGTTGCCGTCAAGTCGATTCTGACTCATAGCAGCCCTGTAGGACAGAATAGAACTGCCCCTAAGCTTTCCAAGGCTGCAGTCTTTTGGGAACCAGACTGCCACGTCTTTCTCTTGTGGAGCACACGTTAGCAGTCAAGCATCTTAACCACTGCGTCACCAGGGCTCCTTGCCATGAAAACTTTATGGTTGCTCTGCATTCTCACCAACACTGGATATTATTTGTCTTTTTCATTTTTTTTTTTTATTGTACTTCAGGTGAAGGCTTACAGAACAAATAGTTTCTCATGAAACGGTGGTACACATATTGTTTTATGACATTGGTTAACAACCCCACAATATGTCAACCGTCTCCCTTCTCGACCTTTTTTTTTTTTTTTGTCTTTTTCATTTTAATCACTCTAATGGATATAAAGTAGCATTGCATTGTAGTTTTAATTTGCATTTCCATATGACTAATGAAATTGAGCATCACTTTATATATTTATTGGCCATGTGAGAGTATCCTTGCTTGTGAAGTGCCTGTTAAATCTTTATTAATTTGTGGGAATTTTTTATTTATCTTGGATATAAGTCCTTTGTCCAGCATATGTATTGCATATATCTTCCTTTAACCTGTGACTCAACTTTTCTCTCTCTTCATGGTGTCATTTGATGAATAGAAAATAGTTTTAATGTAATCCATCTTTTCCCTTGTTTCCTTTATGGTTAGTTCTTTTATGTCTTGTTTAAGAAATCTCGGGGTATCCCTGCAAGCTTTCAGAGAATAAGACATGTCCCACTAAGGCTTTAGATTTCTCAACAACAGCATTGGAAGCTGAAAGACAGTGGATCATTGCTTTCTGTGCCAGGGGTCCCCAAAACCATCCCCATGTTCGGTGATACACTAGGAGGACTCACAGGACTCAGCATATGGCCATACTCATGGCTATGCTCTATTAGTGTGGAAGGATGCAAAGCAAAATCAGCAAAAGGACAGTGCATGGGGCAAAGTCTGGAGGAAACTAGGCCCAGGCTTCCAGGAGTCCTCTCCCAGTGAAGTCACACAGGATGTGCTTAATTTCTCCAGCAGAATTGAGACAACACATGGTGAAGTGTTGTCTCAAGGAAGCTTTGTGGAGACTCAGTGTCTAAGGTTTTTTTTGAGAGCTGGTCATTATGCCCTCTGCTTAGTACATACCAAAATTTCAGACTTCCAGAAGGAAAGCAGGTGTTAAATCTTCCATTTCATCAATGTAGCATGTTTCCCCATATACTTAGGTTACCTTTAATTTCTCACAATGATGTTTTGTAATTTTCTTTGTAGAGGACTTGCGCTTGCACATTTTTTGATAGATTCCTGGATATTTAATGATTTTTTTTTGATGCAGTTGTAAATGGTATCATTTAAAAATTTTATTTTCTACTTGTTGATATATAGAAATATAATTTGAGATTAAATTTTGTATATTGACCTTATATCCAGTGACTGCTAAACTCACTTATTCTAATAGTTTACAGATTAATTTGGATATTCTGTATACATGTTATTGTTGTTCTTCCTTGCTTCCCTCCCACATCCCTTTTATTTCTTCCTCCCCACCCCACCCCTGCCAGCTTCCTATACTGGCTAGGACCTCCAGTAAAATATTTAGAAGAAGTAGTGATAGGAGCCATCCTCATCTTATTCCCAGTCTCAAGGTGAAAGCTTTTAATATTTCACCATTAAAATTTTTTATTGCTATAGGTTTTCTGTGGAATCTTGATCCAAGGAATTCTTTGAACTGAAAAAGTGAAGTTTAAACCCTTCAGACAGTCATTCAACAATAGAGCCTGAAAACTATCTATTGCAATTACGAAGGGCAGGCATTACATGTACCTCCTGCAGCAGCGGTTGTAGTCACAGTCTTACATGTGTATTGGAATGCTGGCAGTAGCATCTTTAAATTCAAAAGGACGTGACATAGCATTGTAGCGAAGGAATCAGGTCTGAAATTCTTATTTTATTAAATATTTAAATACTATAGGGAGGAACAACTCAGAAACGGAGGGTGAGACTAGTTGCATAACTCGAAGAATGTAATCAATGTCATTGAATTATGCATGTAGGAATGGTTGAATTGGTGTATATTTTGCTGTGTATATTCTCAACAACAACAACAACAAAATAAGATTTAAAAAATACTATTATGGAAGAGTGTATCACAGTACCTTGAATTGTTTTCTCCCCTTTCTTTCAAGGTAAATTGATTTATTTATAAGTGAAGATATTAGTTCAGATAAAGCACTTCTCTAGAGTCACAATGTGGGACGGGAGAGCTGCTGTATTTCCCTTCCTCCACCTCCTTTATATTTTATAGTGAAATGTCCTTTGTGATGTGTTAGCAGTTTGCAAGATGTGTATTATTTTATTCAAGTGTAATTGCTGTTTGCTTACCTAGTTGGGATCATAATTTATGCCAAGTAAGCTACAAATGTAGATTTATTTTATTATTCTTTAAGTTACAGGTATAGACTTTATTCCAGTTGTGGAATGATCTGTTTTGTTTTTGTAACATATTAGAAAATTTGTTTGATGCTTTGGCAAGACTAGCCAAGGTCTTTTATGAGACTTTGGCATATGAAAGTACTGTTAATGAGCATATTTTAATGTGATTTGTGTAGAAAAATCAGCTAGTTTATTATAAACAATAAAGGAAGTGTTGGGCTAAATAGTTTTTTTTTCCTCAATAGATGATTAACAAAATGTCTCCAACATCCCTAAAGATCACGCTAAGGCAACTCATAGAGGGATCTTCAAAGACATTACAGGAAGTATTAACTATGGAATATCGGCTAAGTCAAGCTTGTATGGTAAGAAAAAAAATTATTGTTTTCTAGTTATAAAAGTTCTGCGTGTTCATTGTAGAACATGTAAAATACAGAAAAATATAAAGAAAATAAAAACTATATGTAAATCTACTTTAGGAAAACACAACAGGCCAGCTAGCTTTAGGTGTGTGGCAGTACTGCTCCCCAGATTGGTACTAAGCCTTTATGAAACAAGCAATTACATTTGCATACAAGTGTAAGAAGGCCTCAGATCTCATTTGGAATTCAGAACATGGTCTGTTTTAGGCACAGTCTTTGTGATCTTGGGCAAGATGTGGAAACTCCGAATCTGAATTCCGTCATCGGTAAAATGAGGAACATTGTAAATCGTTGTAAGGATTCAGTGAATCTATACATAAAGTATATAAAGTATCTGTATATAAAGTATAGTGCTTGACATATAAAAATGCTCAAATGGAAGTTATTTGTTAAATGTTTTAATTAATGGATTAGCATTGAAAGTACCATTGTAAATACATTTAAAGTAGTAATCACATGCAGTATTATTGATTTCATGAAATATTTCATAATCATAGTGATTTCTTCTTCCAGATAATGAACTCTTTAAAGGCAGAATCATCCCTTTTGTGTTAATACTCAGAGGGTCCGTAAGAAACATCATTTTATGGGATGAATAAACTCACTTTTATTTAGATAGATAAATTAGTGACCTAAAGGGAATATTTCATTTAATAACCAGATAATAGTACATGCCTAATGGGCTTTAAAGTAGCCCTGGTGGTGCAGTGGTTAAGAGCTTGGCTGTTAACCAAAAGGTCGGAAGTTCAAATCCACCAGCTGCTCCTTGGAAACCAAATGGGGCAGTTCTTCTCTGTCCTATAGGGTCATTATGAGTCATAATCAACGGCAATGGGAGTGGGCTTTAATGTTTTCAAATAGTTTTTAAGATATTTGAAGTAGTTCATTTAACCAGAAATAAAGCTCTCTTGGCCATATCTAAAGGCACTCCTTGTAGAATGTAAATAGCAGCTAAAATTTATTGAGTGTTTTCATGAGTAGGAACTATGCTAGGCACTTTGCATGTATTCTCTCTATTAAATCTTACTCTAGGAGGATTGGAACTATTATTATCTCCATTTTACAGATGAGCAAACTGGCATAGAGAAGTAACCTGCTTATGGTTGTACAGCTAGTGAGTGGCTGAGAAGTGGCATGTGAAATGAGGCAGTCTTACTCCAGGGCCTGTGCTCTTGACCACTACCCTATATACCTCACACAGTGCATATTTTTCACAGTACATTTTGTGCACTGCCTGGACTGATTCTTCCTTCCTTCAGTCTCTCAGCAAATATATTAGCTGTATGCCAGGCAGTGAGCTAAGTATTAGCTATGTTGAATAAGAACACACAGTCCTTGTTCTCATGGAGTGTACAGCCTGCTGAGACTACAAAGAACAAGTAAAATGAGTAAAATAATTATAAATTGTGGTAAGTGCTCTAAAGGAATTGGTGATAGAAGAGAATGACACAGGGATAGGAGGGGTTGTGGGTTGCAAAGGAAATTCTGCTTTAAATAAGTAGGTCAGGGAAGCCATCTCTGAGATACCACCTCATCTGTAATCTGAAGGATAAGAAATGAGTATGTTAATAAACCTCCCAGGGTTTTAGGCAGGGGGCAATGTGATTTTAATTTGCTCTGCTTTGTTTTAAGAAGGTGATTATTGCTGCTGAATGGAGATAGAGATGGAGGGGTTCAGAATAGATACAAAGACCAGATAAGAGTTTATTGCAGTAATCCAAGTGGGAAATAATAGTGCCTTAGACTAGGGTGGAAATGAAGAGAATAGATTTGAGACAGATGTAGGCGATAGAATTGGTAGGACTTGGTGGTGGATGTGAGGGAAATAATGCATTTAGTAATTGGAGCTTAGAGGTTTGGGTTAGGGGTTTAAGTCTGAGAGACATTAGCATCAATTGCTTTTTAAAGCTTTGGGGATTTATTTACTCAAGGAATAAGAGAGCCTATCGGGCACTGCTGGAGGTGCCAGGAATACATAAGGGAAAAAAACAAAAATCCTTGCCCTCGTGGAACTTACTTTATAGTGGGGGAGACATACTATAAACAAGATAAATATGTAAAATATATAGTTTTATGAGTTATAAATCCTAAGGAGAAAACTTAAAGCAGAGAAGGAGGGTATGGAATATAGGGGGTCAGAGGATTGAAACTGTAGATAGGGTAATCAGAGAACACCTCACTGAGATGTTCTTTGACTGAAGACCTGGAAGAAGTAAGGAAGAGCACCCCAGGCAGAGGAAACTGCAGGTTCAAAGCACAGAGTTGGGAGTGTGCCTTCCTGTTCTAGGAGGCCGGGAGGTCATGTGGATGGAGTAGAAGAGGGGGGTGCATGAGAGATGATGTCAGGGGTAATAGGGTAGAAGGAGCCATGCAGAGCATACGGGACCTTGAAAGTCTATATGAGGACTTTGGCTTTTGTTCTGAGTAAACTGGGGAGCCACTGAATGGTTTTGAGTAGAGGAGTGACATGATCTCACATTTAACAGAATTGATCACCAGACAATTGATGTATAGAGCATAGGATGGAAATGATGGGGAAGGAAAATAAAAGACATTTGATATTTTGAACCCTGAGAAATTCCAGCTTGATTTTGAGGTGGGCTAGAGGAGAAAGAGCAGTGGAAAGAGTAAAAAGCCAGAGAGGCAGGAGAACCAGGAGAGAATGGTGTCACAAAAGCAAGAGAGGAGTGTTTCAAGGAGGGAGTAATGAACAGTGTTGACTGCTACCAGAGGGTCTAGTAGATGAGGCTAGAAGTATCCTTTGAATTTGGCAACATCAAAACTATGGGTGATTTTGGCAATTGTTTCAGAGGAGTGATGGGGGCAGAAGTTATGGTAAGTTGGAGAGGAAATAAGTAGTAAATGGGATGTGAAGACATTGAGACAGTATGTGTACACAACTCTTCTTGAAACAAATAGGGGAGAAACTGGAACTGTGGAATCAAGTGAGGTGTTTTTTTTTTATTATTATTTTGTAAGATGGAAAGTGTTAGAATATGTTTACAAGTGATTAGGAATAATCCAATAGAGAAGAAAGATTATGTTGATGATCCTAACGATAGGTAACATTTACTAAATGTCTGGCACTGTGCTGGGATGTGGATTGAAATAATCTTATGATGTATATATTGATACTGCTATTTCATATATGAGGAAACTAAGGTTTAGAGAACTTACTAGCCCAAAGTCGCAGTTATTATATAGCAGAACCAAGATGTGAATCCAGACAGTTTGTATGCACTTAGACACTAAGTTACACTGCCTGCATTGAGGATGTCAGGAAAAGAGAGGTGGGTACCTTCTCAAGCAAAGTCCTTAAGAAGGCAAGAGCAGATGTGAACTGGAATGTAGGGAAGGACTGGGGTTATAAAGAGGGATGGTTTCTTCTTCTGTTGTCATGAAAGGAAAGACAGGTGCAGATAAACACAGGTAGGCTTTAGGTTTAATGGTAGGAAGACAAGGATGTCTGTCTCTGAGGGCTGCTTCTCTCTTTTTTTTAGTGAAATAGGTCATTAGCTGAGAATTTATTGAGAGTAGAGTGTGCTGGATTTGACACAGTGGCTGCAACAGTGGGCTCAAATATAGCAACAATTGTGAGGATGGTGCAGTACTGGGCAGTGTTTCGTTCTGTTGTACATAGGGTCACCAGGAGTTGGAACCAACTCTTCAGCACTTAATGACAACAACAACAGAGTGTGCTGAGGGTAGAGGTTGATGAGGCAGAAGACAGTTTAAATCATTATCTTCAGGAGTAGGGGAGAGAGCATGGATTGTTGGGTAATTTTCCTTGCCTATTTGAAGTTTGGGATCATGGATTTTAAATTAAAGTCACATTAGTTGTGTGATTTTTCTACAGTAAGGTTTAGCTGCTCAAGTGCAGGCAGAGTTAATGGTAAGGTTCAGCTGGTGATGGGGTTTTGCCAGGCCAGTATGAAGGAGGAAAAGCAGTTTGAGGGAGATGAGTTTGAGGGAGCTTAAAACAGTTCAAGGAAGAGGGACCATATTAATGCAGTGGGGAAACTGGGCTGGACCACGAAGGATGAGAAGCCAGTACAGATGGTGAGAAAGTTGTAGGGTCAGTGGGCCTCAGTTAGATCAAGGATTTGCAGCTGAGGAAATACTTGAGCAAATAAGAATAGAAAGGAGTGGGTTTCTGAATGTCATGGTTCAGATGGTAGCCATGGGCTGAGGTAGGTGAAGATCACCAGGAATAAGGATGCTCAGAAATTACCACAGTAAATCTCAATTTTCTTTCAGGGAGGTCATGATTTTCATGAAGGCGTTAGAGCAGGTAAGTGACAAATAGTTGAGTTTCCTTCTTGGCTATTATGAAAATAGGATTTGTGGTTATATACTCTTAATCAGAAATGATAGTTCTATTAAAGTGAACATTTAACTTTTATAAAGCTTGTAGTTTTTTGTTTTGTTTTCCTATTACCAATTGGAATGTAAGGGGGGGGGGCAGTCTTTGAGACTAATATTGTTAAAAAATTCGTATAACTTGGCCACTGCTCCCTAATTACATGTAAGAGTAATGCTGCTCCTAAAGTCACGTGGACTGCATCTGTTAAGTGCAGCATGAGTTTGTAAACTCATTTTGCTACTGAAGCCTTTGAACATTCATTCCCTTGCAAAAAGCCCTAAAGTCCCTCACCCTTCCTCCCTCTTTTGTACTCCCAGGCAAAATCCCAGCAGTGGCCGAACCCTACCATCCACTTTCTTTCCTGTACCAGAGCAGTTAAACATTGCTGTATAAAACCATATGGCATAATTACTACTGTACGCTAATTCTTATTAATACACTGCATTTTTGCCTACCATCTCAAAGTCAGCATATTTAGAAACAGCAAGTGAAGTGGCTGATTTTTTTTTTTAAAGCAAAAATGCAGTAATTCCTTTTTATGTATAATCCCTTATCCTTATAAATAATAGCTGTTATTTCTGTAGTATAAAATGAGTTGTTTCCCTCTGCACGTGTTTTACCTATATAATTTGCTTATGTTTTTATTAATCACTTTAATATAGTGTGGACCCTGGATATACATTTTATTGAATAAAAAGGTCATGTTCTCTATGCTCTAAGCTTTGATAAACACTGATCACCACTGTTTTAGAATTCTCTTAATTTCTTGCATGATGCAGAGTCATCAGAAGTAAGCACTGGGTTCAAACCTTTTAAGAGGACACATGGAGTTGAATCAGAGGAAATGGCTGCATATTTTGTTGAAACCAAGTAAAATATGTATTTCCCTGCTAGTTCCCTGCAAATTCTTGCTGTTTGTGAATCAGAGCTCAGACCTCTGATTTTAAGAGGTGCTACTTAGGTCATGTTGCTAGAGTAAAATATTTAGAGTTCAATATACGTTATGACAGCCATTCTTAAACTAAAAAAGGAAGAGTATTGCTTTCAGATGAATACTGTCAGTTATTTTAAGGAAAAAAAGTTGCAGCCAGTATCAAAGCACCAATCAAAGTCCTAATTCGTAAAGCAGGTGCTTTATCAAGCCACTTTTTAATGAAGAGAGTATATTGCTTCATCTTTCAGCATAGCCTCGTTATTCAGAAAGTTATATTGATTCTGGGTAAAACTGTTCAGTGTTCTTGTATAATCAAATGTTTGCTATTAAATTTGCAAAGTAAAAAATGTTAGCAAATTAGATAAAATACATTAGCAAATTACGGAAATGTTAAGAAGTGTCACTCTAACATGTAGAATTAACATCTTCATGGTTTTAGAATAAAAATGGATTATGTCAGAGCTAGAGAGCTACCAAATGGAATTTGAGCGGGTATCTCATGAGACCTTCTGAAAAATCTGAGCTGCCTATATGGCAGGAACTTAAGCTACATCCAGTCTAGGTAAAAAAAAATGTTAGTTTAAAATAAAGTAACAGATTTGATTAATATTTTCTTTTGCCCTTCAGTGGAATCTCAAGGAGGTGGTAGATAGGTTTGGCCAGAAGGTTTAAAGGTGAAGAGATTCTTGTGGAAAGAATGTCCTAGGATTGTTCTTTGTTTATTCAGTCTAAGGAAGATAAAACTCAAATTGGCAGGGATCAGAACATCAATATTTAATATCACCACTGACCTGATAGTAGAAGCCCATAGTTAGCAGCCAAACCTTGAAAATGTCCAGTGATAGGGAACGTATTACCTCCCAAGGCAGCCTTCTTTCTTCTTTGGTTCCCAGACTGCTGCTTTAACTATTTAGCCTTTTATGCTAAATTAGGTTTTTTGGGTTCATGGTAGAGTTAGTATGTTTAAATATTTCCATTCTTCACAAGATTATGCACATTTTAAGCATGATTGAAATTCCCTACCACGTCCATACTAACCGTAGCCCCCTTTCCTCTTAAAAAATCAAAATTAAAAAAAAAACTTTTTATTTTGAGATAATTGTATATTCACATGCAGTTGTAAAATGTAGGAGAGATCCTGCATACCCTCTCCCAGTTTCCTCCAGTATCACAACGAGGAAATTGATATTCTCCTTCCTCTTTAGGAGAGGTTAGAGATTGCCTCATAATCCTGTGGGGATGCTGTGGCTACAGTAAGTGCTGACTACACTGAAATAGGAGAGGTAGAGGGTTTTATGATAACCTGAAGGTGGTCTGGCTTTTTAATTTAGAGCTGTTGTCTGTACCAGAGGATTCAGCAGAACTGCAGTAGCCACATTTAACTAGGCATACGGCCCCCTTCCCTCTACCTTGAGCGATTAATGTTCCTCCCCAGACTCAATGTGGAGATTGAAAAGGCAGATGTGAGCCTGGCACCTTTTCCTATCTTACCTTTAAACCACATGAAGTCTAGTTTTAGCTGTTTTATATCATGGAGATTTCATTTACTGTTTTGTTTGAAGGGAAAAAAGATTTTTCATGCTTAAATCACTGGATTAGTTCAGTAAGTTTTATTAAAGCTAGAGACATCAGGCTTAGACTAGAAAGCATTCACACTGGTCATCATCAATATATTGCTATCCAAGAATCCAAGTTCTTTGGGATTTAATTTAGCAGAAAAATTGAACATGTATAAACATTTAAAATTTACAGAAAAAAAAATGTGCTATAGACAAATATGCCTAATAAAGATGGTTGTTGGTTGCTGTTGAGTCAGCTCTAACTCATAGCAACCTTATGTGTAACAGAACAAAACATGTAGTTTCTGTCAATTCAGTAATTAAAATCTAGTAATAACAGGAAGAAATGTGTTAACATCTATGTCTTGACAGTTCTAATAGATAAAGACCAGAGTCCGAAGTGGAAACCAGCTGATCTAAAAGAAGTTACTGATGAAGATGTGAATAATTACTTTAAATCTCTGGGAAGCAATGATCTGAAATTATGAGGTGACTGTCCTTTTAATCTGTTATTTTGGAGCAGGGGATGGCAAACTATGGCCCGTGGGCCAAATCTGGCCTGCCCGTTTTTATACCACCTGTAAGCTAAGAATGGTTTCTAGATTTTTAAATCGTTGGGGGAAAAAAAGTCAAAGACTTATATTTCATGCCACATGAAAATTATATGGAATTCAAAGTTCAGTGTCCATAAATTGTCTTATTGGAACATAGCTGTAATCATTTATTTACATATTATCTGTGGCTGCTTTCATGCTACAATGGCAGAGTTGAGTGGTTGCAGCAGAGACCATGTGGCTTGCAAAGCCTAAAATATCTGGCCCTTTTCAGAAAAAGTTTGCCAACCCGTCTTAGAAGACAGGACAATCTGAAGGCCTTTAGAGATTGTCTTGAGTTAGTACATCTAACCAAAATGGGAACTTTGTGTTTTGACTTTGAACAGTGGCTTACATGTTTATTAAATAAACTTATGTATAGATTATAAAAAATAAAAACCTTGAAAATTTTGTAGATACTTTGTTAATACTTCATAGAATTTCTCCACATAGAAGTCTATTTAAAAATAAGCATGTGTTGCTATAGCATAAGTGTTCCTTCTATAACATTAGAAATTTCAGGCAAAGAGAAAACGTTTTTATGAAGTTACCTCTCCTTTTCCCTTCCCTAAAGTAATCAGAATCCCATCCTGTAGGAAAACACTATTCCTTTTTATTTGCAATTTTTGCTAATCTGGCAGAATTAGGGATTAGGAAACTCCAATCTCTAAAACAGGGACAAGGGCCCTGTTGGCACAGTGGTTAAAGCACTCAGCTGTCAACTGAAAGGTCGGCGCTGTGAAACCACCAGCTGCTCCGTGGGAGAAAGATGTGGTGGTCTGCTTCCGTAAAGATTCACAGCCTTGGAAATCCTCTGGGGTCGCTATGAGTTGGAATCCACTTGACGGCAGTGGAGTAAGATAGGCATGCTCTACTTTTTGCAATTTATATCAGACTTATGTGTGGTATGTTAATTGTCCTTACAGAAGGTTCAAATCAAGAGAAAAAAATTAATTGACCATAAGAGGGCTTTTGTTTAAAATATAAATGCTGTCAATAATTTGTATTGACAAAACAATAGGTGTTTTTTAAGGTACACAGGGAACTGTAAGGTGTTCCAGACTCTGAGACCTTACATAGGTAAGAACAGTTTTTTAATTAACAGTCAGCTGATCTTTTATTTTGTAACTTGGTATAATTTCTCCTTTATCCTAAGCCCTTTAAATACTTAGAGAGAACTTCAGGTTTGTAAAAACACAAAGCAACAGAACTGAAAAGGACATATAAGACTGTTCTTCACCCTGCTCATAGATGAAGAAATTGCAGTTCAAAAGGTATTGCTATTTCTCAGTTCTTGACTTGAGATGAAGCATTGTTCATCCAGAAAATTCAGAGAACAGATTGGAATAAGGATGCGATGATAATAGACACATTTATATTTTTACAGCACCTAAATTGGACGCGAATGAGCCAAGGAATTGTTTGTATATATTGATTTTTGTTCACTTTATATTTAAGAATGAAGAAAATGTTGAAATCTTTCATGTTGTTAAAAAATTTGGAAGTATACAAGGTTGAAAAGCATTTGCTTACTTTAAATAAGAACTCAGCTAGTTAATTGCAACTGGACTTTATTGTACAGTTAAAAAAATGTTTTCACAAAAATATCTGGAAAAAAATAACCATTTCATAGCTAAGTCTTACCGGGAAGAAAATTGGCTAACAAAACTTGAGTTTTGCAAACTAAGATGCAAGTAGTGCTTCTGAGCCAGTGCCCACAGCTCCAAGGAAGACATATCCTATTTAGTCACACAAATACAGTGTGAGGACATTATAATTAAACAATATATTCTTTAGAATTTTGTTTTTAAATTACTGTTCCTTAACACTATTTATAAAATGTCCTTAACTTTTGATTTCTAAACGTATGCAATACCAAAGTATAGTCCCCCCATCTCATAAAATGTTAGTGACATTGGGTAAGATATATGAGTATCATGCTACTTCATTCAATTTGTCTGTTTTAACTAAGACAGTTTGACACAAATTATTCCTTTGGGATGAAGATGGTAATCATTTTTTGTTCTCTTAAATTATGCTTTTAAGTGCTAATAGCCATAGGTAGTTTACAAAGAACTGATGAGGCGACTGAAAGTGGAGAATTCTAGGATCGTAGGCATGTAACTGAACAGTATATAAGAGACGTTTAACCGAGAAAGGCGTCAGGGAAACATATTTGTGGGGTTACGTGAGTTTTTGTAAGTAAGAAATTGGCACATTTCCTGTGATACTCTGCTGCTTCCACAGTTGCCACCTGGTGGTTCTTTGCCACGCTGGTGGAGGCTCATCTGCCTCTACACTGGATGTTCCTGAGGGAAAAGATGCAGTAGTTGGACACGTGTCAATACGGTAAAGAAAGAAAATTGCTACCGTGTCCTTTCTCTCAGTTTAAAACATCGGAAACTTGTTTAGTGGCAAACAAAGCTACTACCATAGTGTTAGAGGGTGGTGACAGAGATTAGACTTCTAGCTAGATATGCATCTGGCAGCATCCCTCTTATACCCCTGGGAAATAGGGGTCCAAAGCAAAGAAGGAACCTGAAGTTAAAATATTTAGAAGTAGCCAAAGCCCACTAGTCTACGTATACTGAAAATTTTCTGTGATATGTGGCTTTATATGTCTTTGTATTCTCACTGTAGTATGTATTATTTTATTTATCTAATTATAATGGTTTTAAACAGCAAATGATGTGTAATATAAAATGAATGAAAAACACATCTAGGCTTTTGTCAGAGTCGTTAGTATGAATACTCAAAAACCCAAATTTCTCTTCAGAGGGGGAAGTGTTTCAGACCTATGTGAAACTTGCCTTACAACTTCGGATACGTCTGTGAACACACATGGTTGTTTTTCTATTATGTAAGTTGCAGGATTCTTTTTCTATTATGTAGGTTGCAGGATTCTAAGTAGAATAGGGAAGTATAGATCCTGGAACTAGGTGACATTCATGTTAAATGATCAGGTGTCCAAAGGCAACTAAAAAGATGACATGTCACTCACTTTAAAGAGCTGATTCTTTACCCATGTAACTTGGAGAATTTGCTATATTTGATTGTGATTTCAAAGCATAATTGTTAGAGGTAGCTTTTCTGCCTGCTTCCAAGGCCAAATGCTTATTTTTCTCACTAAAGTGGTCACAAGGCTTTTTCTGTCTTCTGATGACAAGGATCTATTGTATTTTAATAAAAGGATCCAACATAAATGGGCTTAAGTAATTCCCTTTTCACTTGAACTCAATGTGTAGCAAATTTTGATGAAAAGGTAATTTTAAAGAGAGTCAGTCCTAGTTTTCCTACAAGTTATATATCTTTTCAGTATCTTCCTACCCCTTCCCCGAATTTTCTGTTACCATTGAGTTCTCAAACAGTACTTAATCCTTTTTTTTTTTTTTAAAAAAAAAAAAGAAGAAATAGCTTCAAAGACAGGTAAGTTTATGAAAATAGTATAGTATGGCAATAAATGCTGTATGGGTATTGTGTTGCCATTTAAAAAATGCATGAATTCCTCTTTAAAGCACGTGTTGACTTTGTTTCATTGGAGGAGTGTTCAATCTTTTTGGTTCTGCAATGCAACACATTAATCTTTATGCATTATCTGGTGCCATAGTAGTTTGAATGGTGACTGCCCCGCCAGGCAACAAAAATTAGGAGCAAGTGGGCAGTATGCCAGCTGTCTACTCCTGTGAGAGTTTGGTGTAATACACATTAAGCACTGAGACCAGGTTTTGCCTTCTACCTTGCAGACAAGGCCTCTGTTATTTTAAGATTTGCTGAATTGCGGTTTATAAAAGGTACCCATACTTGTTTTCTTTTATAGTTACATCACTGGGCTTCTTAATTCAATGCAGTAGACATTTATGTAATATCATGGCTTTTGTAAATCGTATCTTTTTAAGACACAAAGTCTGAGTCATCCAGTAACAGTGGTGGTTAGTTAGGGCCCTGAGGTTCAAGGTAGTAGTTCTTTGTTTACAAAAATAAGTAAATATCTCATTAAGGACAAGGGTTAGGGTTAAATTGGACCTCTTTTTTCTACATGAGCTGCTTTCTGATGTTTGATCCTTTGTGTCAAGAAGTAGGGATCCTTGACACAAATGATTTTGACAAACAAGACCTGCTAATTATCACTGTGGCTTGAGTGCTATTCCCCTGCCAAGGCATTTCAAGAAAAACTCTCTTCATATCTTTAGCTTTTTTTGTGTGTGTAAATTAACATAAGTAGTTGGTTATTTTAAAGGTATGCCTTAAAATAAGCATTCAGAACTTGTGGCATATTTTATTCTTAAGCATTTTCTTTGGTGATGTTGCTACTGCCTCAAGAAGAAAGTGGTGTGACACGTAGCTGATTACTGTGGTGCCCTTTAAGTGACTAAAATCCAAGATCAAGCAAGTAGAAATTGCTGTTAACATAAAACATTTTAAAACACATTTCATCTTGTATTCCTACACAGGGAAGTTATCATAGACTTTTTTTTTAACACCTAGATAGTTATATGTACTTATTCACACCATTTTTGCTTTTGTTTCATGTATTTAAAACTAGCACCAACTATAACCACAGTTTAAGAAAGTGTCATCACCCTTACAGCATCAAGGACCCTCACTCTCAATGTATGGGATATCACAGTATTTGATGTTATTGCATGCCCACTGCTGCAAGGCATCATTCAGGATTTCCTGGGACAGACGGTGTGCATATTCGAGGACCACAATATTGGGCTCTGGGGTCATCTTCACATTCTCTTTGATAACTGGAGCTTCCGGCATAAAGTTTTCTTCACTTGCGTGTCGCTTCTCATTCTCAAATGTGGTAGGAAATGGGAAAGTTTGCTTTGATTTCATGCAGCCCATGTTATGAAGAGCTTTGACCAAGTGGAGAAAAGCAGTAGAAAGACTACTTCAGCAGCATCTTTGGAATACAATAAGGGTAAGTCCACGTGATACTGACCAGTGCTTTCCCTCTTCAGGGCCACGTCAGGAATCAATGTTCCCTTCACCACTCGTCACCTGTAGTGTTTATCTGTCAAGAGAAGGGATGTTTGTTTCATTTTGAAGTTATAGAATGCAAAATACTGTATGATTAGGTGGCATGTAAAAACAGTCCTCTTTATTGCTTTGGTCACTTGGCGGAAATATGCAGTAACAGCTTTATCTTATCAAAAAAGGCAATCACTCAATAAAGATGGCAGTTTACTAGATAGAAAAATAGCTTTTCAAGATGTTGAAAAAGTTCTTTAAAACTGAAAACAGTTGATAGATTTATTTAGTTATACCAGGGGTCAGCAAACTGGCCGAGGGGTCAAATCCCAGCTGTGTTTTTCTAATTATGTAAATTTGTAAATAAATTTAAATACAGTACAGCCATGCTCATTCATTTACGTATTCTCTATGGCTGCTTTCCTACAACAACAGCAGAGTTGTTCAGCAGAGAGCAGGTGGCCCGAAAGCCTAAAATATTTACTCTCTGGCCCTTTACAAAAAACGTTTGCTGACCTCTGATCTATACTGTCAAGGGAAACAAGCATATGAAAATTTGCTCCTGACCCAAACCTCATAAGCCTATTCATCTTTGGTTGCTACCAGAGTAAGGCTTTGTCCCCTGGTCAAATGTTTACAACCCCAAGCCTTGGCAAAGAATGATAGTCTTTATACTAGTGCCAATTCTAAACAACAGAGTCTTGATGTGGCAAAGCTACCTATTTTTTCTTCTGAATTAGACATTCCCTATGAAATTATATGGAAAGCTCAGATAAAATTAATGTTAAGGGTCTCTCCCTAAATTAGGCTGTAATGCTTGTAAGTTCCTGCTAAGCTTCCCAACTGGGGTGTTGTCACTGAATGAACTTAGGATTTAAGGGTAGCTGAAAACAAGAGAAAACAACTTCACTGTAGGGAGGTTTAGCCATAGAAGAGAACAAGCAATGAATGAGGTTTTAATGGTCTGATTGTCTTAAAGCCTATGGACGAAAGAAATAGCTCTAAAAATGAATAGAACTCTAGTTGACTTATTTCTGAAAACACTGATATTAAGAAAGAACTAACGTATTTTTTTTAATAGTTCATAATTAATTAAAGAAGTCCAAGAAAAGTGACCTCTGCTCAGGCCTACTGCTATGTATTTTTCCGATCTGTTCCCCACCCCTTCTCCTAATAAGGTTGATATGGGACTAGACATAGGGAATCCAGCCATCTACTTATAATTATCTTTAGTCCTGTGTGCCCTGCTACATGTTCCAGGAAGATTTCAGAGAGATTTTTTTAAAAGGGGAAGAAGAGATGTGTGTGAGCTCCTTGAAGATGAGGACTGTCATAGTTGTGAATCTCTAGCATATGATGACTTATGTAGTTTCTATTTTGTACTACGAGGATTAGTTAAGGGAACCGGACATATTTAGCCTGAAAAAGATTAAACTCACTGAGTGTCAGATAAATAAAAGGCCATGAATAGAATATTGAATCTTTAAAATAGAATATCGAATCTTTAATTTTGCAAAAGCAGCTTTTGTCTGACCATAACAGTAAATAATACCAGATTTGCCCCCCACCAAAAACTATAAAACTAGACAAAACTATAAAACTAGACATATGTGGAGAGGTCTTTCTAGGCATTTGAACAACAGGCAACCGAGGACTGTAATCCCTGAGTAAAGGGTAACACATGGTGTTAAAGCCCCACAATTGATCATCCTGGGTTTCTGTTGAGAGTAGCAGTTCTGCTTAGCTAAGGAGGCAGAAGTTTGGGTTGCTGAAGCAGCTGGAATTTATAGGACAGAGTTCAAGAGAAAAGAGCCATGGAGACTCATCAAGGATGCTGGGTGGGGGTAGGGATGTGCATGTGCAGGATGAGGCTATGCCGATCCGTTGCAGTCCAGTTGATTCTGATTCATAGCAGCCCCATAGAGTTTCCAAGCAGTGCCTGGTGGATTTGAACTGCCGACCTTAGCACTTAACCACTACACTATCAGGGTTTCCTGAGGATATGCAAGACTCCTGTTTTTGTTAATGTTTTGTTGGAACACAGTCATACCCATTTGTTATGGATGCTCCGCCACAACAGCTGAGGTGAATAACTGACAGACCATATGGCTCACAGCTAGTTCTTTAAGAAAAACTTTGTCAACCTCTGCTCTAGGGTATGCTTCTGACTCCTAAGGTGTCACCTTTCTAGAGTAGTAACTAAGTGCCTGAAGTGTTCAATGAGGTCTCTCCACTCTGGCTGGTCTGGAATTCCAAGCACTTCTGATATCATTGTTCAACTCTAGGCCCCAGAGCAGGTAATCTTTTGATAATAACAAATGGGCATGACTGTGTTCCAACGAAACTTCATTAACAAAAACAGGAGCCAAGCCTATAGGCTGTATTTTTCCAACCCCTGCCCTAGAGCAAGAGTCATGCTCTTGGTCCAAGTTCAAACAGAAGTCGTCCCATGCTAACAAAACTCACCGTTTAAAGGAAGATGGCATAATTCATGCTCCTTACAAGGTAGTATCCACAATGTCCATTATACAATAAAAAATTATTAGATGTAAAGCAGCAGGAAAATGTGACCCATACTCAATGAAAAAAGCAGTTAGAATTAGCAGACAAGAACTTCAAAGCAGCTTTTTAGGACATAAAGGATAAAATGATCATAACGACTGTATAAAATAGGAAATTTCATCTGAGAAATGGAAATTGTTTAAAAAAAAACCCAAATGGGAACTAGAACTAAAATGTACAATTATCTGAAAATCACTGTATGGACTAAAAAGATTGAATGCAGAAGAAATGGTTAATGAACTAGAACAAAAATCTATATCTAGTCAGAAGAACAGAGGGTGTTAACGGATTGAACTGTGTGCCCAAAAATATGTGTTGTAAATCCTAACCTCTGTGACTGTGATTGTAATCCCATTTGGGAATGGGTTGTTTATGAGACACTATTAATGTAGGGTGTGTCTTGAGTATATCTCTTTTGAGATACAAAGAGATTAAATGCAAGCTAGCAAGCAGAGGGGTGGGGTAAGAAAGATGCCAAGCCACATGAAGATCAGCCAGGAGCAGAAGCTAAAAGAGACAAGGACCTTCCTCCAGAGCCAACAGAAGGAAAAAGCCTTCCCCAAGAGCCGGCATCCTGAATTTGGACTTTAGCCTCCTAAACTGTGAGAAAATAAATTTTTGTTTGCTAAAGCCATTCACTTGTGGTATTTCTGTTATAGCAGCTGTAGACAACTAAGTTGGGGGAAAAAAGATTTGAAAATATTGAACAGAGAAACTGCTAAAAAGATAATACAAACAAGTATGGCTTTAAAAAAAAAAATTAGGAATTAGATACATTTAATCCAGAAGGTGGCAGAAAAGGAGGGACATAGGAAGAAAAACAAAAGAAAGGTGGCAGGCCTAAAATCATCCTATCAAAAATTTGAAAGGAAATGGACTCAAAATTCCAGTTAAAAGGCAGAGATGATCAGACTGGTTAAAAAAATAAGATTCAGCTACACACTATAAGAGATGCACTTCAAATACAAATACACAGATTGATTGCAAGAAGTTAGGACATACCATGCAAAAAGCAAGCATAAAAAAAGCTGCTATGGCTATATTAATATCAAAGCCGACTTTAAGACCGGAGTATTACGAGTGATAAATAGGGACATTTTATAATGTGTCAGTGAGGAAGGGATGACGATTATAAAAGTATATGTAACTAATTACATGAAGTAAAAACTAACAGAACTAAAGGGGAAAATAAACCCACCATCATAGTTGGAGATTTCAGCACTACTCTCTCCAAGAAAGGAAGGAATACAAGTTCTGAATAACACTATGATCCAACTTGAGTTAACTGACATTTATATAACACTATATGTAACAACTGGCAGATACATACTATCAAGTGCATATGGAAGATGATAGAGTATATGTTGGACCATAAAACATATCAACAAATTTCACCAAAAGCTTGAAATCTTAGGGAGTATATTTTCCATCTACCACAGAATTAAATTTTAGAAATAACCCACAGTAAAATATTCAGAAAGGCCCCAAATATTTGGAACTTAAACATCACATTTCTAAATAACCCATGAGGCAAAGAAGAAATTACAAGGGATATTAAAATATATGTTCAACTAAATAATAAAATCACAACTCATCAAAGTTTGTGGAACGCATCGCAAACTTGGAGGGAAATTTATATAGATTTAAATGTAACAAAAGAAGGGAGCCCTGGTGGCAGAGTAATTGGGTGCTCGGCTGCTAACCAAAAGGTTGGTGGTTTGTATCCACCAGCCAGTCCACAGGAGAAAGATGTGGCAGTCAGCTTCTGTAAAGATAACAGTCTCAGAAATCCTACGGGGCAGTTCTACCCTGTCCTGCAGGGTCACTATGAGTCGGAACTGACTCAATGGCAGTGGGTTTGGTTTTTGGTTTTGAACAGAAAAGAAGAAAGGTTTAAAAATCAGTGATCTCAGCTTTCACCTCTAGAAGGTAGAAAAAAAATTAAACCCGAAGTATAAAGAAGGAAATAATATAGCTAAGAGTAGAAATCAATGAAACAAGCAAAAACAGCAAACAATAAAGAAAATAAGTGTAACCCATACTGGGTCTTTAAAAAGACCTAATAAAGTAGATAAATCTCTATCCAGAATGATCATGAAAAAAGATGACACACATTAGCAAGATGTGGAATGAAAAAAAGACATCACCACAGATCCTATGTACACTAAGAAGCTAAAAAGGGAGTTTTAGGAACAATTTTGTCAATACCAAAACTGACATGAGAAAGAACAAAATCTGAATAGCCTGTGTCAATTAAAGAAACTGTAATTTAAACCTTTCCCAAAAGTCGTCTCCAGGCCCAAATGGCTATTCTTGAGAATTCTAGCACACACTTCAAGAAGAAATAATACCAATCTTATCCAAACTCCTCAGAAAATAGAGGAGGATGGAACACTTGTAAAGTCATTCTATATTAAACCAGTATTACCCAGTTACCAAAACCAGGGACATTACAAGAAAAACTACCGGCCAATATCCCTTATGAACATGAACCCCAAAATCATTTTTAAAAATGGTAAATTGGATCTAGCATACATAAATTGAAACCAGTATATATAAAATGGATAATGCATCTTGACCAAGTGGCATTTATATCAAGAATGCAATGTAACATTCAAACGTCAATAAATATAATTCACTGTATTAACAAAAGGAGAAAAATCAGGTGATCATCAACAGATGCAGAAAAAGCATTTGACAAAACACTCATTCACGATAAAACTTCTCAGCAAACCAGCAACAGAAGGGACTCCTGCATGGTAATGTTCAACTTAAAGGTGAAAGACTGAACACTTTCACCTATGACAGAAAAAAGGCAAGGATGTTCCCTCTCACTATTTCAATTTAATATTGTATTGAAGGTCCTAGCCAGTGTGACAAAAACTTCTTTTAACAAGAAAGAAAAATATAGAAGAATAAGACTGGAAGAAAGAAAAAGAAACCCCCCTTTATTTGCAGATGACATGATTGTGTATGTAGAAAATTCTAAGAATTACGTTAAAAAATTATCAGAACTAATTGATTTTAGCAAGGTCTCAAGAAACAAGATTGATGTGCAAAAATCGATTGTATTTTTGTTAAAATATATACCTATACCAGTATACCTAGGCTGCAAATAATTATAAGATGAAATTAATGCTATTCCCACTGCATCAAAAATATGAATACTTAGGGATAAATTTACAGTATATTAAAGAAAACTGCATTGTATATTGTGTATGCTGTACATGAAAAGTGAAGAACTTAAATAAACACATAAATTGTGTTCACTATCCGGAAGACTCTATATCAGTAAGATGTCAGTTCTTCTCAAATTTACCGATCTATTCAGCGCAGTCCCAGGAAGCCTTTTGGTAGACATTGACAAGCTGATGCTAAAATTCCAATGAAATTCCCAGCAGCCTTTGTCATAGAAATAGACATGCTGATTCTAAACTGTATATAGAAATACAAAGACACCAGAATGGCCAAAAGCAATTTTGAGAAAGAACAAAGTTGAAGGACTCAAACTACCTATTTTAAAAATGACTATAAAGCTACAGGAATCAAGACAGTGGTATGTTGGTGAAAGGATAGACACAAATCTGTGGAACAGAACAGCGTCCAATACTAGGCCCACACAAATGTGGTCAGTCGATTTTTGACAAACATGCAGCAACATTCAGCGGAAAGGATAGTCTTTTCTCCAAATGGGGTTAGAACAATTGGACATCTATAGGCTCCCCCTCCCCCAAAATGAACAGGTACCTACACCTTATATAAACGTGAACTCAAAATGGATCATAGATCTAAATGTAAAATGTAGAACTGTAAGAGTTTTACAAGAAAACAAAATATCCATGATCTTGAGTTAGGCAAAGAGTTCTTAGATATGACCCCAAACATGATCCATTAAAAAAAACCTGATGAACTGGACTTCATCAAACTTAAAAACTTGCTCTGAGAAAAAACACAGTTAAGGGAATGAAAAGACAAGCCCCAGACTGGGAGAAAATATCTACAAATTATGTATCTGACAATTGACTTGTATTCAGAACATATAACTATCAAAACTCAACAATAAAACAATAAAGAATCCAATTCTAAACATGACCAAAGATTAAACAGACATTTCACCAAAGACCACCTATGGATAGCACATAAGCACATGAAAACATGCTCAACATCATTAGCCATTTAGGAGAATGCAAATTATAAACATGAGGAGATAGTACTACATACCTATTAGAATGGGTAAAGTAAAAAATACTGACAATATCAAGTGCTGGTGAGTACGCAGAGGAACTGAACTCCCATACATTGCTGGTGGAAATGCAAAATGGCACAGCCACTATGGAAATAGTTAGGCAGTTTCTTACAAACATACACTTAACCACATGACCCATTTACCATATGACCCAGGAATCCTACTCCTAGGTCATTACTCTGAAGAAATGAAAATTGTGTTCACATAAAAACTATATACAAATGTTTACAGCAGCTTCATTCATAATTGCCAAAAACTGGAAACAATATACTGATACACACACTGAATGGACGAATCTTAAAGGCATTATGCTGAGTGAAAGACAATAGTCTCAAAAGGGTTACATACTGTATAATTCCACTTTTATGACATTCTGGAAAAGGGAAAGCGATAGGGACAGAACAGATCAGTGGTTGCCAGGGATGAGGGGCAGAGGGAGGTTGTGACTACAGAGGGGCAGCAGGCGGGAACTTTTTTGTGTGATGGAACTGTTCTGTATCTTGATTGTGGTAATGGCTATACATATATTAAAAATTCATAGAACTGTTCACCAAAATAAAGCCAGTTTTATTGTATGTACATTTAAAAATTTATTTAAAAAAAACCACAGTGTGATACCATTACACATCCACTAGGATTTCTAAAATTAAAAAGCCCAACAATAATGGCTAGAATGTGGAATCATATTGCTGGTGGAAGTATAAAATGGTACAGTCACTTTAAAGAACTGTTTGTCTATTTCCTGTAAAATTAACAATGCACTTACCCTCTGAACCAGCCCAAAGTCAGTGGCTACCTTCTGGACCTCCAGAAGAGCAAGAAATCTTCTACCCCATCTGCTCATTCAAGTGTTTTATTTCTCCTTTCCCTTGGAAACTTGTAGAGTATTTTAATGTGAAGTGATGATGGCAGTTAGAGAGAAACCAATTTAGAAATTGGATGTGTCCATTCCCCTTAACAGTGTTGTTCTTGAACTTGTAGCTGAGGGAGGTGAAGTAGGGAAAGGGATATATGACCTATCCCAAAGACCAAGATTAATTATACTTCATCCTCCACGACACACCCATTAGTTTCACCACATTTCTAAATTGTATACTATAGGAAGTCAGATGGCCATGTCTGTGAGACCTCAAATACCTAGATAGTAAAGTGTTTA